ACACACACACACACACACACACACACACACACACACACACACACACACACATCACCCTCCACATCCTCTCCTAGCATGTCCCACATGTGGTATTGGTCATACACCTACGGCAACTGCTGACGGATCTCCCTCTTTCATGCCAGACGAACGACGAACACAGCAGTCCGAGGAGGAAAATAGACTTCTATATGAACCACCGGCAGAGCGATGTGCTCATAGTTTATCACCACCAGGGCGAGCTGTTGCGGATCATATCCTGCAGCAGCTGAATGCCCTTGCGTTGGACCGATCCTCCCTGTCGTCGTCTGCCCATAGAGAAGGAATACATACTGAGGAAGCCCAAGAAAGATGCTCCATGCCGCTTTGTGATGACCCACCGGAGATTCAGCTAGCATGTGGTTCGCATACCTTGTCCCGTGAGGATTATGAAGGGATAGTCCATGCGAGTTTTTGCTTCCATACGTACTATCAGTACTTACTCATGTACGGCACCCCGACATGTCATGTCCAATTTGTAGACAGGGCTGGAACGGCAATGCCCCTATAATTGCGGTCGACGTGCCTCTGTGTTCCTAGCATGTACGAGCCACGTAGCCTGTGACATCTGTCTGCGCTGTGCCATTCGATGCAGCAACTGTGACTGCAAAAATTGGATGTGCTGCTTCCATAGCCCACACCCGAACCGGTCCTGTCCGGTCTGTAGGGGTGGCCACTCGCCATAGTTTTTTTTTCTTTTCTTTTTTTTTTTTTTTCTTTTTTTTTAGAAGTCTGCTTCAGCGCCGAATCAGCGGTGAATATTTAGAAATCTGTGAAACCCGTCATACACCTTTCCCCTGCTCTTTGCATGTCATAATCTATCCTGCCCTCCCGTTGCCCCTACCTCCCCTGCCCCATACTCCTAGAGAACTCCGCCTTCTAACCCTTACCCTCCACCCTCCCCTCCACTCCCCTTGTACTACTAACAAATACATACGAATGAGCATCATTAAGAGTATAGACGATATGAAGATCAGAATGAAATGAACGGAAGTATGAAGATGAAGGACAGACACAAAGACTGTATAAGCTGAAGATCTGAAGTGAAATGAACAGGAGTATGAAGCTCTGAAGAGATGCACAGGAGCATACCTTCCCTTTTACTCTGCCTCCTAAAATAACGTGCAAGTGGGCCGTGAAGGCACACGGGGATGTGGGTAGCTGCCGCTCAACCACAATCAACGTGGGCAGTCTTGTGCGTAAGAGGCACAGTAAAAGGGGAGCTGCAAGAACAATGAAAGGGGTACCCAAGGACAACCAAAAAACTGTCTAATTATAAAATTGCTTTAATATGTTGGACATCTCAAATGCTCT